GAAGTCCCTCGGCCCTTAAAGGGGAAAGGCTGCCTACCCCTGATTTATACTGTAGAAATAATACAGTTTGACACCACTTTAACTACTGCAGCGCCATCCTATGAAATCCTGGGATTTGTAGTTTCACAGGGTCTTTAGCCTTCCTTGCCAAAGAGTGCAAGAGCCTCACAAAACTACAAAGCCTAGGATTCTGTCAGATGGAGCCATGGCAGAGAAAGTGGTGTCAAACTGCGTTATTTCTACAGTGTAGCTGGTTTCCTAGAGGGGTTGGGTTCAAGGGATAGAGATGGCTTCCTAGAGGGGAAGGGTTTAAGGAATAAAGTTAGCTTCCTAGAGGGAAGGTCCTAAGGAATAGAGTTGGCTTCCTAGAGGGGAAGAGCTCAAGGAATAGAGCTGGCTTTCTAGAGGGGAAGGGCTCAAGGAATAGAGTTGGCTTCCTGGAGAGGAAGAATTAAAGGAATAGAGCTGGTTTCCTAGAGGTGTTGAGTTCAAGGGATAGAGCTGGCTTCCTAGAGGGGAAGGGCTCAAGGAATAGAGTTGGCTTCCTAGAGGGGAAAGGCTCAAGGAATAGAGTGGCTTCCTAGAGGGGAAGAGAGGAGCTTAGTCCTCCAGAGTAGATCCACCTTTGTTGCTTCCACTCTGCAAGATCAGCTGTTCTTCTGCCTTTCTTCTCTTCCTCCTCCAGTTGGGAAGATTTCTGCATTTCTTTGCTCCTGGGATCTGGTGAGTCCCAATCCACAACCTTTTGCATTCTGCTGGTCAAGGTGGAGACTCTGTCTAGTTGGGAGGCTTCCCTAGAGTGGTCCCCTGGAATCAAGAGAGTTTCCTAGGGTTTGGTTCATACTATGTATTCCAAACAGATTACGGGTGACTGACAGGTTTTCCTTGCAATAGTACAATATTCCTGGCTGACTTGAATTATTTGCAAGTGACCAACTGTATCAGTGCCTATTATGACATGATACTCATTGTGATGTTGACATTTTATTATGGGTTGTTATAATAAACTTTGCTGTTTTTGATTACAATGATGTGTCAGGACACTCCCTCCTCCACTTACCTGAGCTTGTCAGTCTAAATCAGGGGTAAGCAACCTTTCCCCTTTAAGGGCTGAGGGACTTCA